ATAGGAAAGTATTGGTTTGGAAATAGGGTAGTTGATGAGTGGAACAGTCTACCTAGTTGGGTTATTGAGGCTGGGACTTTGGGTAGTTTCAAATCTAGGTTGGATAAGTACATGAGTGGGAGGGGTTGGATTTGAGTGGGACTTTCACATCAGAGCTTATTTCTTGGGTGGCATTGAAAATTGGGTTGGGCAAATGTTTTGTTAGTGGGATAAATTGTAAAGGACCTGCCTAGTATGGGCCAGCAGGCCTCCTGCAGTGTTCCTCCTTTCTTATGTTTCTTATGTTCTTATGTTCACTGTCGGTAGCCATGAACTCAGCACACTCAGATAAGCTGTGACTGGTAAATTTGGGCCTACATATGAAAGAATAGGTCTGTGTGGTAAGTGTGCATAATGAGAAAAAACTGTGACTGTGATTTTGGTGTAAAAGAGCGACTTTGTGGTGTATTTTCGTATGGTTTATATGATTGTATTCTCGTTGTTTGGTCTCATTTGATAGAATGGAAGATATATTACAGAAACAGTTATGATTTTGATTGATTTTGCGATGGAAAGTACCTTGAAATTGAGCTCAAAGTAGTGGAAATGTTCAATTTTTGCCGATGTTTAAGAGTAAACAAATACGTGTAAACAATACGTGTCCAACTGGTCAGTCTAATATGCAGTCACAAATGGGTTAACATTATTTATACAATTATTATAATAATGCAGCAGTCTACATAACAGTAAATCTTCTGTTTTTTGTGAGAATAAAAATTCAAAATGGAAAGCAAGAGTAATAAAATAAGGGCAGCCTGGAGACATGACTAATGAACAGAGAAAATGATCTTTTAGTGACAGAAATGTCTGCACTGTTTATTCTGAACCCTATTTTGAAATTGGCATCACTTGGAATTTTGTGAAATTGGCCAAATTACCAATTTCTGACCATTTTATTGGGTCAGAAAGCACCTAGCAGTAAATAGATACCTGCATATTAGTTGCCTTACACCTGCTGTCTCTGTTCACCTAGCATTAATTAGATAACTGGGTGTTAGTTACCTTACATCTGTTGTAGGAGGTACAGTGTTGTGACCTTCTGTACCTCAAGTCCCACCTAGCTCTGAGGTGCAACTTACGTCAATGAGTAATTATTATCTTAGTCATACCTGGCCCAAATTATGTGCACGTAAGAATTCAGGACAACGCCTGTGAACCTCATGCAAATAATTTCTTCACATTTGCTACCACCGTTCACCTAGCAGTAAGTACGTACCTGGGTGTTAGTTACCTTACATCTGTTGACCCTGTTCACCTAGTAATAAGTAGGTACCTGGGTGTTAGCCAACTGGTGTGGGTTGCATCCAGGGCACAAAATTAACCCATAACCAGGGACTATATACTATGTTACTGATGTCAGCTATGTCACTGATGTCAGCTATGTCACTGATGTCAGCTATGGGCTGTATAAATTGTAACATGAACTTGTACAAATAAAGATTATTATTATTATTATTATTATTATTATTATTATTATTATTATTGTTAAGAGGGGACACCATAAACATGACTGTATACACTTGGGACACTTTTATTGAAGATTTTTTGGTTCTGGAATTTTGATGAATTCAAATTCATGAGGAATTGCAAAGGATATAGGCTAAATATATAGTGGCAAGATAGGGTAGTAATAATAATAGAAGTAATAGCCTGGTCTCCATGAGGAAGTGGAGAAGAATCCCTCCTCCCTAAGCCATGAGTGTTGTAAGAGGCAGCTAAGATGCCGGCACCGAGGGTTAGCAATCCCTTCTCTTGTATACGTTACTAAATATAATTACAAGAAGAAGTTTCACATTTCTGCTTTTTCGGGTCACTTGCGTTGGTGGGAAGCAGCCGCTGCACTAAAACAAAAATTATAGTCTGGTGGAGGGGACCAGTAGTGAAGCGTAAATCTCATGGCCATAACTTGGGGCAGTCTTGAGGAAGCTTACCACAGTACAGGTGGGGTTAGAACCCAAGGCAAGTGAGTCATATAACTCCAGGCCAGTGCGTTAACCACTAAACCAGCTGGCTACAATAAGATTCATCCAACTAGATATAGTTCTATAAACCACAGAGAGGTTAGCATGGGCCACACACTGTGACCACAAATGTAAATTTTTACAGACAAATCCCACACCATTACATGATATGTAATGGTGTGGGATTTGTCTGTAAAATGATATGTCTGCAATTGAGCAATTACCTTTCTCTACTTCCGGCAACCGACGCCTGACCACCACTACTCCTCTCTCAGGCTAAGGCAGCACTTTTCAATCATAGCCATTTAGCATTTATTCACACTTTCTAAAATAAATGTATTCACCACTTAGTGCACGCTAAGGATAAAAATATTTTAGGTGAGTATTGCGTGTAAAAGATGTGCTCTTTTTTTAGGCCTAACTCTGTTGCTCACTTAATATATGATAGTGTAAACATATTACCAGTCTTTTATATGCATTTGAAAGTATAAAGAAATATGTCTCACTTTACAGCATTTTTACTTTACAGTGGCAGCCTGGAACCTAACATGCTGTATAATTTCCTCACTAACAGAACACAGAGAGTAGTCGTCAACACAGTAAAGTCCGAGGCAGCTACTGTGAAAAGCTCTGTTCCACAAGGCACAGTACTCGCTCCCATCTTGTTCCTCATCCTCATATCTGACATAGACAAGGATGTCAGCCACAGCACCGTGTCTTCCTTTGCAGATGACACCCGAATCTGCATGACAGTGTCTTCCATTGCAGACACTGCAAGGCTCCAGGCGGACATCAACCAAATCTTTCAGTGGGCTGCAGAAAACAATATGAAGTTCAACGATGAGAAATTTCAATTACTCAGATATGGTAAACACGAGGAAATTAAATCTTCATCAGAGTACAAAACAAATTCTGGCCACAAAATAGAGCGAAACACCAACGTCAAAGACCTGGGAGTGATCATGTCGGAGGATCTCACCTTCAAGGACCATAACATTGTATCAATCGCATCTGCTAGAAAAATGACAGGATGGATAATGAGAACCTTCAAAACTAGGGAGGCCAAGCCCATGATGACACTCTTCAGGTCACTTGTTCTATCTAGGCTGGAATATTGCTGCACACTAACAGCACCTTTCAAGGCAGGTGAAATTGACGACCTAGAAAATGTACAGAGAACTTTCACGGCGCGCATAACGGAGATAAAACACCTCAATTACTGGGAGCACTTGAGGTTCCTAAACCTGTATTCCCTGGAACGCAGGAGGGAGAGATACATGATTATATACACCTGGAAAATCCTAGGGGGACTAGTACCGAACTTGCACACGAAAATCACTCACTACGAAAGCAAAAGACTTGGCAGACGATGCACCATCCCCCCAATGAAAAGCAGGGGTGTCACTAGCACGTTAAGAGACCATACAATAAGTGTCAGGGGCCCGAGACTGTTCAACTGCCTCCCAGCACACATAAGGGGGATTACCAACAGACCCCTGGCAGTCTTCAAGCTGGCACTGGACAAGCACCTAAAGTCGGTTCCTGATCACCCGGGCTGTGGCTCGTATGTTGGTTTGCATGCAGCCAGCAGTAACAGCCTGGTTGATCAGGCTCTGATCCACCAGGAGGCCTGGTCACAGACCGGGCCGCGGGGGCATTAACCCCCGGAACTCTCTCCAGGTAAACTCCAGGTAATTGTCAACAGCTATTTGCCTTCTTACTATATATTCTTTTGTAGCTACAATACTGAACACCACAAACCTATTAAAGTAAGCACACAAGGAACACAAGGAACACAAGTACAGTAGAACTGCTGTATCTGTGGTTTTACTTATCAGCGGTTCATCCTGGCCTGAAAATAACCCTTAAATTTTGTTTAATAATGGCCCCAAAGTGCAAAAGTAGTGATTGTGGCTGCTCTTCAAAGCCAAAGAGAAGCTGTGAAGTGATTCTCATCTCAACTTATTGTGCACAGTTTAGCAATTAAACTTTATCATATGTATGATTATTTTTTTTATTAACACGTTGGCCATCTCCCACCAAGGCAGGGTGACCCGAAAAAGAAAAAGAAAATTTTCACCATCATTCGCTCCATCACTGTCTTGCCAGAAGGGTGCTTTACACTACAGTTTTTAAACTGCAACATTAACACCCCTCCTTCAGAGTGCAGGCACTGTACTTCCCATCTCCAGGACTCAAGTCCGGCCTGCTAGTTTTCCTGAATCCCTTCATAAGTGTTACCTTGCTTGCACTCCAACAGCACGTCAAGTCCTAAAAACCATTTGTCTCCATTCACTCCTATCAAACACATTCATGACTGCTTGCTGGAAGTCCAAGCCCCTCGCACACAAAACCTTATATGTATACAGGGTTCGCTACTATCTGTGGTTTCAAGTTTCCACGGTAGGTCTTGGAAAGTATCTCCACAGATATAGGTGTCCTACTGTACTGTTAGTTTTGGTGTGAAGTAGTGTTTGCACCGTTCATGCCCCCTGAAAGAGGAGTGAGGATGTTGGTGTTTTGCAGTCACTTAAACTGGCACTTCTGGTAAAACAGCTGCTGCATGATCGCCATGTCTGCAATGGCTAAGTGGGTCTGCAGGCTGCTAGCAGAAACAGCCCAGCCTTAGGCTGTTTCCCATGATCTGGTAGGCAAGGCTTTCACCTCACACACTGAGTGTCCATGGTTCGATCCCCAGCCCATTGCAATCACTGGGTGTGTTTCCTCACACCTACTGTCCCGGTTCACCTAGCAAGTAAGTAGGTACCTGGGTGTTAGTAGACTGGTGTGGATGGCTTCCTGGGGGACAATATCAAAGGCCCACAATGAAAATAAGATACAGACCTCAATGACGCACTGACTTTATCATATCTTATATGTAAGTGCAGTTGTAGAAAAGCCCCTGAAACTGGTTGCAGATAAAGTTCAGGAAAACTCAATCTTGGTGGGAGATGGTGAATGTGATAAAACAAAAACATTCCTATTAGTATTAAAACGCACCTGTTGGTGAGGCAGCCAAGGCTGACACATTAGCAGCAGCGTCGGAGGTCGCTGTGCTGCTGCTCACATTCTGAAAGTGAATAAAATCAATTCAAATCAAATTGTTAATTTGAATATTAATGGAAGAAACCACAATTTAACGTGTGATTGCAAATATAAAAGAAATCCTGTTTTTAACTGGTATTTTTTATGTACAGTGGTATGCCGAGCTTCTAACTAATTTCATTCTAGAAGGCCGTTCGAGTGCCGATACCGAATGAATTTGTTCCCATAAGGAATAACAGTGTGACTCTGTAAATGGTCCAAGTTGGACGGAAACGTCGTCGTAAGCTCCTCTCTTCTATGTGCGGGTTATTTGTGTTCCCATAAGGAATAATGTAAATTAGATTAGTCCATTTCAGACCCCCAAAAATACACTTCCATAATTGTTCGACTTGGGAGCAGTTCGAAACTCGGGGTACCACTGTATTAATATTACTAACACTTAAAATTACTAATATTAATAATACAGTGGACCCCTGGTTTACGATATTATTTCATTCCAGAAGTATGTTCAGGTGCCAGTACTGACCGAATTTGTTCCCATAAGGAATATTGTGAAGTAGATTAGTCCATTTCAGACCCCCAAACATACACATACAAACGCACTTACATAAATACACTTACATAATTGGTCACATTGGGAGCTGATCGTAAACCGAGGGTCCACTGTACTATCACTTGCTCCCTTGTGGGAGCAAGGGGCTAATAATCATTTGTCCTGTATACATTACTAAATTTAAAAAGAGAAACTTTCATATTTCTTTTTGGGTCACCCTGCCTAGGTGGGATGCAGCCAGTTTGTTGAAGAGAAGAAAAAAACATCTTTACCGCTCTCACATCTACCCTAGTGGCCTGGTGGCTAAAGCTCTCGCTTCACACATGGAGGGCCCGGGTTCGATTCCCGGCAGGGTGGAAACATTTTGATGTGTTTCCTTACACCTGTTGTCATGTTCACCTAGCAGCAAGTAGGTACCTGGGTGTTAGTCGACTGGTGTGGGTCGCATCCTGGGGGACAAGATTGAGGACCCCAATGGAAATAAGACAGACAGTCCACGATGACGCACTGACTTTCTAAGGTTATCCTGGGTGGCTTACCCTCCAGGATTAAAAATCCGAAGAAATTCTTATCTTATCTTATCTTACCTATGGTATATGTGCATGGAGTTCAACCACAGCAAATCACCTTAAACCTGTAAACACACATCGTAACCTTAGCAAAGAAATAAATATTTTATTTTATTCTTTTATTTTAACCCGTAAATGGTCCAAGCAGATCTACGTTCACATGTGTAGTGCTACAAAAGTAGATCTACGTTCACATGTGTAGTGCTACAAAAGTAGATCTACGTTCACATGTGTAGTGATACAAAAGTAGATCTACGTTCACATGTGTAGTACTACAAAAGTAGATCTACGTTCACATGTGTAGTGCTACAAAAGTAGATCTACGTTCACATGTGTAGTGCTACAAAAGCAGATCTACGTTCACTTGTGTAGTGCTACAAAAGCAGATCTACGTTCACATGTGTAGTGCTACAAAAGCAGATCTACGTTCACATGTGTAGTGCTACAAAAGCAGATCTACGTTCACATGTGTAGTGCTACAAAAGTAGATCTATGTTCACATGTGTAGTGCTACAAAAGCAGATCTACGTTCACATGTGTAGTGCTACAAAAGCAGATCTACGTTCACATGTGTAGTGCTACAAAAGCAGATCTATGTTCACATGTGTAGTGATACAAAAGCAGATCTACGTTCACATGTGTAGTGCTACAAAAGCAGATCTACGTTCACATGTGTAGTGCTACAAAGTAGATCTACGTTCACATGTGTAGTGCTACAAAAGTAGATCTACGTTCACATGTGTAGTGCTACAAAAGTAGATCTACGTTCACATGTGTAGTGCTACAAAAGTAGATCTACGTTCACATGTGTAGTGCTACAAAAGTAGATCTACGTTCACATGTGTAGTGCTACAAAAGTAGATCTACGTTCACATGTGTAGTGCTACAAAAGTAGATCTACGTTCACATGTGTAATGCTACAAAAGCAGATCTACGGTTTTTTTTACATATTTTTAAGTACAGTGGACCCCCAGTTAACGATATTTTTTCATTCCAGAAGTATGTTCAGGTGCCAGTACTGACCGAATTTGTTCCCATAAGGAATATTGTGAAGTAGATTAGTCCATTTCAGACCCCCAAACATACACATACAAACACACTTACATAAATACACTTACATAATTGGTCGCATTGGGAGGTGGTCGTAAACCGGGGGTCCACTGTACTTTCAAATGTTGAAAAAACGTATATATACGTTTGGACCGTTTACGGGTTAATAATGCAACAAAAAGCTGCCGTGAGATTGATTACAAACTGCTACGCCAGGCAACACACCCCACCGCTATTTAAGAGCTTGAACCTGCTTAACATACAAAATACTCACTCATATTATTTAGTTTAACCCGTAAACGGTCCAAACGTATATGTACGTTTTTTCAACATTTGATAGTATGTAAAAAAAGTAGATCTTATTGTTTTTTTACATTTGAAAATGTGTAAAAAACTTTGATCTACGTTTTTTTTTTGTTATATTTGAAAATATGTAAAAAACGTAGATCTACTTTTGTAGCACAACACATGTGAACGTAGATCTGCTTGGACCGTTTACGGGTTAATAATAGTTCAATATGTTTATTATGCACCCCATACCCATCCTGTGGGTGGTAGTCACCCCATACCCATCCTGTGGGTGGTAGTCACCACATACCCATCCTGTGGGTGGTAGTCACCACATACCCATCCTGTGGGTGGTAGTCACCCCATACCCATCCTGTGGGTGGTAGTCACCACATACCCATCCTGTGGGTGGTAGTCACCACATACCCATCCTGTGGGTGGTAGTCACCACATACCCATCCTGTGGGTGGTAGTCAAACCCCATACCCATCCTGTGGGTGGTAGTCACCCCATACCCATCCTGTGGGTGGTAGTCACCACATACCCATCCTATGGGCGGTAGTCAAAAGATTACAGAGGTACATAATGGGTCCAGTGACTGGACTCCAAAGTTTTGATAGCTGAACTAGTTACAAAGGTAATGAACAAGATTTGGTCACAGTCATGACCAAATTACAAAGGTAATACACAGAACATTATTCTGCAATATTAACCTCCTTTCAAACTCCTTCTTGAGAACTACAACAGTATGCACTTGCATAACACAAGACACAAAAAACTCTTGATATCCCTCGTGTCCATCTCTCCCTATGCAAAAAAAATGATATGCATATAAAGAGCCCTAAGATCTGGAATTCATTGCCTGAACATACAAAAGGACCTTTGCCTGCATGCCAATTCAAGGCTCTGCTTAGAAATCACCACGAAGGTATAAATACAGTGGACCCCCGGTTTATGATCAGCTCCCAATGCGACCAATTATGTAAGTGTATTTATGTAAGTGCATTTGTACGTGTATGTTTGGGGGTCTGAAATGGACTAATCTAATTCACAATATTCCTTACGGGAACAAATTCGGTCAGTACTGGCACCTGAACATACTTCTGGAGTGAAATAATATCGTAAACTGGGGGTCCACTGTACTCATACATATCAATACTTGATAGTTTGGAAATTAGGAGGTGTGGGATTGCAATAACTATTACCCAGAGGGTTGAGGAGGGGTTGTTGAGGTGGTTCAGACATGTAGAGAGAATAGAACAAAATATAATGACTTTGAGAAAATATAAATCTGTAGTGGAGGGAAGACCGGGTAGGGGTTGGCCTAAGAAAGGTTGGAAGAAGGGGGTAAAGGAGATTTTGTGTGTGAGAGGCATTGACTTCCAAAAACCATGCATGAGCATATCAGATAGAAGCGAATGGAGGCAAATGGTTTTTATGATTTGAAGTGCTGTTGGAGTGTGAGCAAGGTAACATTTATGAAGGGATTCAGGGAAACCGGCAGGCCGGACTTGAGTCCTGGAGATGGAAAGTACAGTGTCTGCACTCTGAAGGAGGGGTGTTAATGTTGCAGTTTTATAACTGTAGTGTAAAGCACATCTCTGGCAAGACAGTGATGGAGTGAATGATGGTGAAAGTTTTTCTTTTTCAGGCCACCCTGCCTTGGTGGGAGACGGCCGATGTGTTAATAAAATTAAAATAATCAATACTCACACTATTAATAATCCAACTGTACAAAGGGATTCTCACCTCTAAGCTTTCCAGCTCGTCATATAAGCTATCAATGGTGACGTCAATATCTCTGATCTCTTCCTCGATAACAAAAGTGTCAACAACATCTTCATGGTCACCCTCGTACCCGGGGCTTCTGGTGCCCACGGGCATGTCTTCCGGAGTGCTTCTTCGGGTCCTGGAGCATGGTATAAGACTGGGTTACCAATAAATGGTTTAGAAAACGAACAAGTTGATACATGAGACATTTGTACCGTTAATGAGTTGCGAGAGTTTTTCCACTCCTGGAGCCTGGCCATGCGCCAGGCTTTTCTGATGTAACATTTAGGTATCTTTATTAAAAGAAATGTTTTATCAGCCAGTGACTGGCAAAATGTTCCCAGAAAAAGTACAGTGGCACCTCGGGATACAAACAGCTGAAAACTTGAATAGTTATGTAAGTGTATTTATGTAAGAACTTTTCTAAGCGTATTTTTGGGAGTCTGAAGCAGATTAATCTAATTTACATTATTCCTTATGGGAACAAATTCATTCGGTAGTGGCACTTGAACAACCTTCTGGAATGAATTAATTTTGTATCCTGAGGTATCACTGTATTCCCAAATGTTGCACAAGTGTCTTATATATCAACAGCAGGTTACATACATTTATACCACATATATGAGAGTACATGGGAGAGATAGACAGTAGAGGACTTAGGATTGAACACCAAGGAAGCTATCCCATACCCTATAAAAATCCTACTGTGAGGGGGGAATATTAAGTCAAATGCAAAGTCAAATTTTATTTTCGAGAATTTTATTTTTTATCACACCAGCTGCCTCCCACCAAGGCAAGGCCACCCAAACAAAAAGAAAACAAAAGATTTTCATCTTTTAACACTTAGTAATTTATACAGGAGAAGGGGTTACCAGCCCCTTGCTCCTGGCATCTTAGTCACATCTTATGACATGGCTTACACAGGAAGAATTCTTCTCCACTTCTCCATGGAGTTCCAAGAAATCACAAGGTATAAACCATACCACGGGTGGGGTTAGAACTTGTGATCTCTCTGATCGCAGGTTCTAACCCCACCAGTGGTATGGTTTGTTTGCAATTGTGTCATTATCATTTCGTGAGTCACAAGGTATAAATTAAGCTTTGGGATTACTATTTTGTATATATAGAGGGAAACTCCCTTGTTATGAGTATCATTTTGCAAAGACTAAAATTAGGGAAGTTGGGAAGAATTCTTCCATGAGTGTTGTAAGAGGCAACTAAGATGCTGGGAGTAAGGGGCTAGTAACTTCTTCTCCAGTATAACTTATTAAATTCTGGGAGTAAGGGCCTAGTAACTTCTTCTCCAGTATAACTTATTAAATTCTGGGAGTAAGGGGCTACTAACTTCTTCTCCAGTATAACTTATTAAATTCTGGGAGTAAGGTGCTAGTAACTTCTTCTCCAGTATAACTTATTAAATTCTGGGAGTAAGGGGCTAGTAACTTCTTCTCCAGTATACTTATAAATTCTGGGAGTAGGGGCTAGTAACTTCTTCTCCAGTATAACTTATTAAATTCTGGGAGTAAGGGGCTAGTAACTTCTTCTCCAGTATAATTTATTAAATTCTGGGAGTAAGGGGCTAGTAACTTCTTCTCCAGTATAACTTATTAAATTCTGGGAGTAAGGGCCTAGTAACTTCTTCTCCAGTATAACTTATTAAATTCTGGAGTAAGGGCTAGTAACTTCTTCTCCCAGTATAACATATTAAATTCTGGGAGTAAGGGCCTAGTAACTTCTTCTCCAGTATAACTTATTAAATTCTGGGAGTAAGGGGCTAGTAACTTCTTCTCCAGTATAATTTATTAAATTCTGGGAGTAAGGGGCTAGTAACTTCTTCTCCAGTATAACTTATTAAATTCTGGGAGTAAGGGCCTAGTAACTTCTTCTCCAGTATAACTTATTAAATTCTGGGAGTAAGGGGCTAGTAACTTCTTCTCCAGTATAACTTATTAACCCCTTGACTGTCGCAACCCCAAATCCTGAGGTGTCTCCTGGTGTCGCAAAATTTCCAAAAAAAAAAAAAATAATAATTTTTTCTTATGAAATGATAGAGAATCTTTTTCTGATTATAATGACACCAAAAGAACGAAATCTGATGGAAAATGACGGAATTATGCTCTCGCGAAGTTAGTGACCTCGGTGATATTTATGTATTAGCGATTTCGCCCACTTTGAGCCCTATTTTCGGCTAATTCCATTGTTCCAGTCAACCAAACTCATGGCTATTTCTTTAGAACTCAATTTTTTCTATCGATTGAGTACAAGAAACTGCCCATTTATCAATTTGAACTACCCAATAACGTGGTCAGAAATTTGTAATTTGGCCAATTTCACGAAAGTTAAAAAAATGACAATTTCAAAATAGGGTCCAGAATGAACAATGCAGACATTCCTGGCTCTAAAATAACATTTTATTTGTTCATCAGTCACATCTCCAGGCCCCTCTGATATTACTCTTGCTTTCTATTTTTATTACAACAAAAAAAAAAATAGAAGATTTACTGTTATGCACACTACTGCAATACTGTAATAATTGTATAAATAATGTCAACTCATTCATGACCACATATCAGAATGGCTACTTGGACATTTATTGGAAAATGACATCATTTGTTTACTTTTGAACATCGGCAAAAATCAAACATTTCCGCTACTTTGAGCTCCATTTAAAGGTTCTTTTCACAGGAAAACCAACCGAAATCACCTCTATTTCTATAATATGTTTTCCATTCTATCAAATGAGACCAAGAAAATGAGAATATAACCATAAATACTATACGAAAAAAGACCACAAAGTCAACATTTTAATTAAAAAAAATGGTTGGAGTTTTTTTTCTCATTATGCACTGCATGCTGCAGGATTTTTTTATATGGTGCACACTGACCACACAGACCCATTCTCTCACATGTGGGCCTACCAGCTTTCTCCTGCTTGATTTGAAACCGCTGGAATTTATGAGTATATATACGTCAAAAATGGTGGCTCATAAGATGTGTATATATGACCAGAACAGTCAAAGGGTTATTAAATTCTGGGAGTAAGGGGCTAGTAACTCCTTCTCCAGTATAACTTGTTAAATTCTGGGAGTAAGGGGCTAGTAACTCCTTCTCCTGTGTACATTACTACATGTAAAAAGAAGAAAAACTTTAAGAAAGTTATTTTAACCCACTGGCCATCTCCCTCGGTGGGAGACGGCCAGTGGATTAAAAAAACAAAAAGCAGCGACATGAGGGAGAAACAGTGAGAGACCTACAAACAAGGATCAATGAGAATAAATATGCTGGTCACATTAACCCTTAAACTGTCCAAACATAGAACTACGTTCGCTCACGTAGTGTACCGAACATAGATCTAAGTTTTTTACATGCTTTCAAGTGAAGAAAATCAAGGTCGGAGCACTACATGCATAAATGTAAATCTACATCTGGACAGTTTAAGGGTTAATAATAACAGCGGTGTGTAATATATGGAAATGGTAATGAAAAAAATTATGATATGGAACAAGACAAAATTCATCATAAGAGGACATGTACACAAGCACTTGCCTAGTACCTAGTGTAACACGTCTTATTAACACAGTTGTACAAAGCACCAGGAGCTTTAGAATTCCAAATGTTTTAGTCAGTGTTATTGGGCTATAGGACCCAATATGTATTAATGTAGCTAAGTAGCAGTTACTCATTATTCAGAATACCCAATTATATTAACCCTTTGAGGGTCTGTCCTGCTAGTTCTACGGCTTCGAAGCTTGGGTCCAAGCCATAGTACTACGCCATGAGCTCAGCTCATTCAGATAACCTATGAGTGGTAAATTTGGGCCTAGATATGAGAGAATGCATCTATGTGGTAAGTGTGCACCATAAAAACAAAACCTGTAGCATGCAGAGAATAATGAGAAAAAAACTGCAACTGTGTTTTTGGATTAAAACAGTGACATTACAGTGTATATTCGTATGTCTTTTATGGTTGAATTCGCAGTTTCTTAGTCTCATTTGATAGAATGGAAGATATATTACAGAAATAGAGATGATTTTCATTGGCTTTAGTAATGAAAATAGATTGGAACTGAGCTCACACTAGTGGAAATGTTCGATTTTTACCAATGTTCAAGTGTAAACAAACGATGTCACGCATCCAATACATGTCAACTGGTGGGTCTGATATATGTTCATGAATGTGCTGATATTATTTATGTAATTATTACAATATTGCATAATAGTAAATCTTCTATTTTTTGATGTGACTAAAAATTCATTATGTGAATAAAAAATCAAAATGGAATTCATTTGTAAAGCCTGGCGACGTAACTAGTAAACCCTGGCGACGTAACTAGTAAACCCTGGTGACATAACTAGTAAACCCTGGCGACGTAACTAGTAAACCCTGGCGACATAACTAGTAAACCCTGGCGACGTAACTAGTAAACCCTGGCGACATAACTAGTAAACCCTGGCGACGTAACTAGTAAACCCTGGCGACGTAACTAGTAAACCCTGGCGACGTAACTAGTAAACCCTGGCGACATAACTAGTAAACCCTGGCGACGTAACTAGTAAACCCTGGCGACATACTAGTAAACCTGGCGACGTAACTAGTAAACCCGGCGACGTAACTAGTAAACCCTGGCGACGTAACTAGATAAACCCTGGCGACATAACTATAAACCCTGGCGACGTAACTAGTAAACCCTGGCGACATAACTAGTAAACCCTGGCGACATAACTAGTAAACCTGGCGACATAACTAGTAAACCCTGGTGACATAACTAGTAAACCCTGGCGACGTAACTAGTAAACCCTGGCGATGTAACTAGTAAACCCTGGGCGACATAACTAGTAAACCTGGCAACGTAACTAGTAAACCCTGGCGACTAACTAGTAAACCCTGGCGACGTAACTAGTAAACCCTGGCGACATAACTAGTAACCCTGGCAACATAACTAGTAAACCCTGGCGATGTAACTAGTAAACCCTGGCGACATAACTAGTAAACCCTGGCGACGTAACTAGTAAACCTGGCGACATAACTAGTAAACCCTGGCGACGTAACTAGTAAAACCCTGGCGACATAACTAGTAAACCCTGGCGACGTAACTAGTAAACCCTGGCGACGTAACTAGTAAACCCTGGCGACGTAAC